CCTGATTTCTTAAAATAACAGAACGGGTGACGGTTTAATCAATTTTATCGCGCACCTATTCTGTTATAGAATTACGTTTCAAAAAATATGCTAATGTCTCGCTTTTGAGCGAGAAAGAATGACCCTAATCGTCTTTGTCGAGGGAATTTCATTCTCCTCTCCTTTTTGTCTCCATTCAAATGGCGCCGCTCGGAAGAATTATAGATTGTACGTGTTTTCGCGTTTGCTAAGTGCATTAAGGCTGTGCAAATAGTGGAAACGACGGTGCGAAGAGCGAGAGGGATACGCGCTAAGCTGAAAGCTCGTTGCTCGTTACACAACCCCTTATTCGACAAACAGCCGCATTATTGTTACCCCTCTTTTCTGCTGATGTAACTTCGTAAGCGAAACGTACGATGGAAGGGAATGAAATTAATTAGTACCGAAACGTCACGTGTAATGAATAATTCTTTTTCGACGACGTATTCCAATTATTCAAAACTAAACAATATCGCAGCCATTAATTTGTCCAGCATCCCCTAAGAGCGGAGCACGAACCACTCCCTTCCTCGCAATTTCCCATAAATTGCCCCGTGCAATTTTCTTAGGGTACGGAGGAAAGGGCCTCGTTTTTCAATTGCGAGGTAATCCCGCAGGTTGAACCGAGGAACGGGCCGCGATATTAGCAATGGGGGAGAAGGCAAAGCGGTAAGAAACGGTAATGCCTCGCAAAGTCAACGCCCTGGCAGCTCGATGCTCGCGCTCTGTGTATTATGCAACCCTTCCGGACGAACCACCCTCTCTCTCCAACGCCCCGCCGGAATCGCCACCATCGTCGGCAACTTTAGCCTGCGACGCGATCGCGTGGCCAACCCGGTAATCCCAACGCCACGCACCACGAATTTCTCGGAAAAACGTCGCCGAGGGTCGCTGGAATTTTTCCCTTTTTACGCGAGCCAACGCTTCACCGAGCAACTATGAGCGTTTGCAATTTTCATTTCGATACGGTCAGAACCAGAAAAGTAACAGCACGTTCGACGTAGTTTTATATACCTCTAATTTGTTCATTGAAAAATAAGCGAGTATTCTGTATCATTTTCCAAAGACAAATTCACTCCCATCTGCTTGGAACCGGATTCCCTTCCACCAGTAGAATAAATATCATCCCTAACTTTTCACAGACATCATAAATCTCTACCCTGATGGATTATACATTCGTTTGATTACCCACATGCGTACTCCCCAAAGAATAATCTTCCACCCCAATTGTCGCTCGTTCCTCGTACCGTTCAATGATTCACGGCCTTGAACCTCTACTCATTTTAGCTCGGCTAAAATATTTTTGCTATTTTCTACTATGGAAAACACCTGCGAGCAGACAAAAATCATCGAGTTTAATGGTGTGCTCGAGTGTTTATGGTGGTGGCACGACCGGTATATGACAGCTGCTGTCACGGCTGGTGCTCCGACCATGTGCTCGCACCCCCATAGTACAGTCAGGCTCGTCCACGCTGAAATTCTCGAGTGCGCTACCGTCATCGATTTTCCAAGTAGATTGATTTTATTGGCAGAAACACTCTTTACGTAGAATCGTGGATTTGTAAATACAATATTAAAAGTGAGTGTATATCAGCAGTGCTGATCGACGAAAAATGCAGTTTCTTAATTGACTATTATAAATTGTATAAAAATCTGTAATCCAGCGATTGGAATCGATGCAATTTCAATTGATGAACATTGATTATTAACATACATGAAGGAGGCTGACTTCGATGCGAGAGTATGAATGGAATACGTATTCGGAAATCAAGCAACGAGTGCGTTTTCCATTTCGAGGCCACGCAAACGAACGATTGGGAATTTGGGTCACTGTCTTTTGTGCCTAGACGCAAAAGGGTTGCCCTTTATTATTTTGAAACCAGTTCAGAGGGAAAGACCCGGACAATGGGAGAAGAATCGTATCCCTTTCGAATAGAAACCGCGATGACAGCTACGATAATGCTTCTCTTTCAGATGAAGTTACGCGTTTTCATTCTGCATCTCAACTATTTCTCAACAGGATGATTTAATAAAGAAACACTAATCTGTGTTATTCAAGGAAAGTGTGTTACCCATACATAATATTGAAATGATGTCGAACGTTTTTAGAACTGCTGACAAATAGAAAGCTCGACCAGACGTAATTCGAAGTGATTGCTGACACGAACGTACTCTACTCGATTACACAACCAAAAGTGTGAATCGAAACTATGCTTTCATTTATGAATAATATGCAGATTATGTAGTCGTAAAAAATATTCGTGACGAATCTTTCTTGCGTGATTTTTACTTAGCGTGCTCGTGCGAGGGGTCCAAAGTGAACGAGGCACGGAGCGGCCACGAAAATAAATAATATATCACGTCACTTCAAAATTTCTATCCTACAATTTTCATTGGTCGATCCGTACTTCTTACAAAAGTTCTGCAAAACGGCTTGAAACCCTTCAAATCAAAGCTTATTCGCACCGAGCTTATGAATTATATCTGTTGAGCAATTTAACGAGCATGAAAACCATTACATTACAATAAACCGGTCCCGTTGGCCAGTGTCTGGCGCCTAGATCGGCCTTAAAGCTCGTCGCGAAAAGTTCAAGAACAAGGAACATTTGTCGAACGCCACGGACACTTAATGACCGTTCGTGATCGCAGTCTGGTTACACGATATTGCCAGCAATAATTTCCGAGACTTACTCGTTCCATACCATGCGTTATAGGAAATAAGTGGTTTCCCCATAAAATCGATGTTAACAAGCCACCTTTCATTATGTCAAACGTGTTGAGATAATTTACAGCAGGTCCGATCGAAAAACTGAACGCCTAGACACGATTTCGTACAACTAAAACGAAATTACCAATGAAAAACAAGAATTTTCACGACTCAATCTCGTGCAGTTGCCAACTGTTCGCGGAAACCCTTCATTCAGAAAGTTATACCTATATTCTAGGAAAGAGCATTAGATGAACAGAGCGAGCGAGCTATGTTCCCGAATTTCTCTCATTAATTCATAACGTAGCGGTTCCTAGAAAACTCTTACATAATATTCATTTTATGTGCAGTTGGCAACAAGTTTCGCTTCTCAATCACAAACACACGTATATATGTACCGATGTTTCCCGCACGAAACTTGAATTAGCAACCTCATACGAGATCGTGCATTATGAAATTAATCTGGTAATGGGATTTTTGGAATTATGTGCTAATTGCCGGAGACCGATGAGGAGAGACGCACAGTATCGATCGGAGGGGAATCTAATTTACGGTAAAATAAAATCGGGAAACTGGCTCATGTCTCGCAAGACGAGGGGGGAAATGGTCTCTGACTCACCCTCGGTGAGAAAGAATTACGAGCGGCGAATGGTTCGCCGCTCTCATAGAAATCCCAGGTTTTTCTTAGAAGTCCGCATTTACCCGTGTTTGTTGAAGGGAGTTCTCGCAAGACCCATGGGGCCCCCGCTTATAATCCACATACTTCCCGATTGCGCAATGCTAATACCGACACCTATTTATAATCCCTCGTCACACTTCGTATCAAAATCTAAATTCCTTATAAAATCTTCCGAGTGTTTCGTCTGTTAATCCCCTCTCAAGGATTTATAGATGTTTTCTCAGATTTAGCAATACATAGGATAAATATTTTGTTTGCAACGGAACTTGTCTGTACAAACAGTCTGCTCGGTTTCAATCAAAAATTTATGGCAGCCAGGTGACAGACGCAGAAAATCTATTATATCCGTTCCTCGCTAACAAGGCGGAGATGGGTCGGTCTATGAATATCTAAATTTAAGAAGTGGCACCACGATACGATTCGTCTCCACGCGTTTCCTTGTAAATCTTGGAAAACACGCGTGAACGGGAGGATGAAGAGGCGAGATCGCGATAGAAATAGACGGATAGAACGGGAGAAGAGAAGGAGAGAGCGCGTGTATAGGAGACGATGCCGCGGGGAACGGTGGTATGCGAAAAAATACACTCTTGGCACTTGGCTTCGGCAGACGAGGAGATAAATAGCGGCGCGTGGGTGCGGCTTGCCGATGTCTACCGCGGGCCACACGCCACGTTCTCCACGCCGGAACGAGTCAACCGACTCGGAAGATGAGAGGGAGCCCTCAGGAAAACACCGGAGGTGACGCGTGCCTCGCAAAACGCTTTGCCTAATGAAAATATCTACTATCCTCAAGGGAATCACGTTTTCAAAACGTTTTCACGATTTAAAACAGGTGTAGCCTGTACAGAATTCGTGTCAGTACTCGTGGTTTCCCGGCTGTAACCTTGTTTGAAAAATCTGCGAGGCGCGGTTTCATCTGGTAAATGTACAAGGGCGAAAAAATTGTTGATTTCGCGACTAAAAAGGTGTGCAGAAAAAAGGTAGAACGAATTTCGCGCAAGACGACGGTAGATTTTGACGCAATGCGTCACATGGTTACTGTCACCAACCACTTGACTGTTCTCCGAAGAAAAAGTCGACCTAAAAACCGCTGAATGCGCACACCTAGCTGTCTAATCTGTCTCTTTCTCTCGCTCTTAATTAATCTCCCTTAATTTTAATACTTTTTCGTTTGCGATGAGTTAAAAACGAAAGAGAAGATAGAAATGTGAGGGTCGCGAAACAGAACAGATACATTTTAATAACACACGTATCTACATACCAGATGCCAACGCGCTATGAACATTCGTCTTATTTCCCGGATGTGTAATGGCAATAGGATTTCTCTCTCTCATACGTTTTTCGGATTTCGTTTTCGATTAGACAATTCGTGAATTCGCGACTAGGAACAGATTGTTCGCGAAAATTGAACGGAATTATAGATCGATACTATTCAGGGATCAAAGACTGACTCCCTACTATATGACACAGACGTTACATGTACAGTACAACAATCCGAACGATTTATGAAATGATTACATCGATGAATAAAGAGTACTTCGGTTCGGTAGTTTTATAAAAGTGACAGACTCGTTGGGAATGCGAATTTGAACTTACCCGGGGAGACGGCAAGGGCGAGGAAGGCAGCGGCAGTGGCGAGCAGCAGTATCCTAATCGCATTGCCAGCGTTCCGTCTTCTGCCTGGCCTCGGCGCCGCGTGACACCACCCGGTCCCGTGTTCGCGAACCCGATCATTCACGTGCTGCACCACGTACGCGGGTTCCAGCCTGGGGTGAAGAAGCAGTTCCTCGTCGGCGTCGGCGTCGTCCGCGACGACGGACGCCGCGGTAACGCGACCACGTCGCCGTGGTCGCGGTGATCGCGGCTGCCGAAGGTCGCTGGCACTGCTACAACTGCTGCCGATACGGTCGATCGCCGGACTACCGTGATACATGGCCTGCGGGGGCGACCACGGGTGCTGCACTCGTCAGCGTGTCCTCGTCGCGATGCGAGCAACCGGGACTGCGGATACGCGAGCACCCAACAAGCACCCAGCGTCCTTACCTGCTGCAGCACCCAACGGTCTCGGGGATCCGCGGCCGCGAGGCATCACCACGACCTGGCTCGACCCGGAACCACCGACACCACCAGAGCACACCCGGCACCAACCACCAACCTCTCTTCTATCTCCTTCCGCTTCCCGTCGTATAATACTCGAATCGTGTCTCCAATTTCTCGACGAGGAGTTTAGACGGTTCGCCGGAATGTTTTCATTTTGAAGTTAGCCCGTTGATTTCGTTCGATGCGGCGAGGGGGTAAAAAGGTACGCGCGTAGGCACTCGGGAATATACACACCCCGGCGACGACGACGGGGAACTCTCGTCAGTGAAGAGGAGTCACCGCGTGCGCTCCAGCACTCCTACGCGCGTCGACGTCGGAGGGAAGAAACCCTCTAAACGAAAGCGTACACGCTATATTACCGGCGACACGTCGCAGCTCTCGCGGTGTACGTGCACGAGTGTGCGACGACCGTGCGTGTAAAGGGAGCCAACAGCGGAAGGGTTCGTCGCACTCGTTCGAACCCTTTCTTCTCTCTTATTTTAGCCACCCGTCTCCTCACGAATTCGCGAGCAAGGAACGACCTTATCCGCGAGAAACGTTCTCCTCGATCCGTAGTCACAGTACACAGCGTCACCCACCAACCACCTTCTGTCACACCTTCTTCCCTTCTTTCCTTCCTTCCTTCCTCCCTTTCTTTCTTTCTTTCTTTCTGTGTTTCCTAATCCTGAGGCTTTTCGAGCAACAGCAGCAGCGACCGTCTGCGGCTCGTCATGTGTCCAGCGCGCCCGGACACTACCACCGTCCGGCAGGAAGTGTCGACTGCCACGAGGTGAACACCTCTGCGAGGCTCTGCCAAGCGGCAGCAGCAGCACCAGCGACGGCGGTGCTGGTAGCAGTGGCGGTACTAGCGGTACTGGCAGCTGCAGCTGGTGGTGCACCGGCGCATCCGGCTGCACCTCGCATTCGACTACTAAGCGTAGTCACACGCGTCCTGCCTTCGAATTCGAACTCTATGCTACGATCTACTGTCAATCTCCACCCCCGTCTCCTTTTAATAAGCCTCGAACTTCATTTCTAATCGGAACTGCAACCGGTAATCCACATCTCCTCCGAGAACGAATATAGTCGAACCGTCCTTGGGGACTCTTGCTCGTGTACTGAACCGGACAGGCGTGCACGGACCGCGTGGTGGCCGTGCAGCGAGCGAAGCAAGTGCCGTGACAGTAGAGGCAGCCACTCTGAGGCAGGCTTGTGCACTCGAGGCTAGCAGCACCACGACGCGGTGCTCTCTGCTCGCGCGACTGTCTTTCAAAGCAGGGAGGACTCGCTCGCGTCCGCGTCGCGCAGCGGGGTTTTCGCGCGCGCGCCACCTCTCCACATCCGAGAACTAGTAGGTAGACTGTAGTAGACGGTCGACACTCGCAGAGCAGGACGGACGGAGGCGGGTAGGAGAAGGTAGGAGTGCGTTGGTGGTGTAGTTTTCGAAGGCTCCATCGGGACGGACGGACGCTTTCGGGTAACAGGCGTCAGCAGCGCCGCGACGCGCCACGTCGGGACGCCCCCTCGATACCCCACCGATGCCATCGGCCTGGCCCGAAATCGATGCCCCGCAACGCGACGTCTCGAAACCACCACCCGACTTGTGCCGTCGACCAACAGCCGCTCCACTCTCCACCCTCGGCCGCCCCTTCTTTCCCTTTTTCGTTCCTATCCTCCCTTTTCTCTTCTATTCTATCCGCAATTTCCCAAAATCCTCTCATTACTTGAATCTCGCACGCACAATTTTTCTACTCGTTATCATTATCGCTGTAGTACCGAAGAACAGGCCGAATCGACATTAAGGGCCGTTTCAAATTATACGCGGTTCATCGATTTTACCGTAGATTTACCGTAGAACATTGAAAAATGAATGACTACATCAATTAATGTTGATGACGATAGTGTAAGATATTATGTCAAATATTTGTAGCTCTTATGATACGAACGGGCTAAGGGCTGGTTACGCATGTCTTCGTTTGATTTCAATTTCCACTGTTCATCCACCAGGTAATTTCGTTTGATGATGGTTCAGGTTGATTTCTCCTCGTCTTAACGTCGACGCTGTCTTTATTTGGTTTGCGGGGTTGGTTTAAGGTTCGGGGGATGCGTGAGTGTAGGTAGTACGTAGTCTTTTCTTCTTCGATGAACGGAAAGGTATTCTCTTTTTACAACAGACTGCATGAATGGTGTCCTGTGGACGGTGTCGGATAACACCAATCGATCGCGGAAACTAATAGCATCGATGAGGGAATTGCACTGGAATTGACGTATCTTCCACGCGCAAAATTACCTTACCTCAATATTGTTTCACGATCGATTTTAAATTTAGATAAACGCTCTATTTTTAAACTATATGCAGTTATTACTGCAGTGCATTATAATTCGTAGAAACTTGCGACCCATAAAAATTTGCTGCAGCTTTTTGCCCATTTGGCACACGATATTCGGCGCACGTAAAAGCTTCCTCTATCAACTAGGTATTCGGGAAATGGCCCGGTCGAAAAAAAACGCGATAAGCGATCAAATAAAAGCGGCAACGACTTTTAACCGCTCGTTATCGATCAGCATCCAACAATCGCCTGATACATTATGGATATCGATAGAAATGTAATGATGTAACAATGACGAATGGCTTTTGACGCAAACACGGTTACATAAGACCGAAGCTACGCCCTCGTTTCACGATTCATTTTATACCCCTGACAAAAAGTTGTTCAACAACGCAGTAATACTAGACATCGAATAAGAGCCCTCAAGTATTAAAAAGAGGAGAACAATTTATTGTTCTATATATATCATTGCATTTTGGATATCGGATCTTCATGTGCTTCGTTTATTATATTATTTGTATTATATCTGACCAAGAACTTTTTGCCAAGTCGTATTAATTGTAATCAGAATGATTTCAAAAACGCCCTGACGGAGTGGTTCTAAGAAATTAGAATATAACTTTACCGGCATTTCGTGTACTTTGGTAATCTTGTTCCCGCTACGAGATCTGGAAAGCGGGACACGCCGCGCGTTCCATCCTGAGGTCGCCTTGGAGATGCTCGGAGCAGCCAGCCAGAGGAGTCAATAGACTCTACACGTTGCGGCAGATGTACGTATCGATTTTGGAACGTTGATTCGCGCGTGTTCCAGAACGATACCGTTGCCCCCCGACACGGGACGGACGGACGGGATGCGTTTGCACGTTCAGAACGCGCGGCTCCTTTTTTCGTAAACGTCGTCGTCGCCAGCAGGCGAGACAGGGGGTACCCAGCAGCACCTGGAGGCCGCTGGGTGGCCGCCATCGCCAGGTGGTTGCAACTTGTTGTTGCGGCACCCCGAGACCTCCTACCCTTTTGTATCTTCACCGACGTTGCAACATAGATGCCTCTCATTTGACGTCTTCTATGCTAATTGCTAGGAAAAATGCTTGACAAATCGATGGCCTTGCATTATTAGTAGTTTCATGCAAAACGAGACATTTATGATATTAAAAGATCCAGTTTAGATTAACATTTCGTTACGTATACAATACGTAACAACTATTATAGTATCAATTAATATGTGAATTATTTTTTCAAACACTGCATTAAACGTTGCAACAATTGTTATATAAAATAATATAAGAATCTTTTGTCATGACGTTTCTGGTCAGTAGCGTGTAATTTCCACCTATGAATCAATCTGAAAATATATAAGACATGGTCGAAGATGCATTTATCCGGAATTGTGGAGGAATAAGTTTCGTGGAAAGACACATGCAGCTGCTATCCATGGATCATTTACGCTACCCTTGGCTGCGAGTTGATACGTCCTTCGGACGCGACCCCATTGTCCACGGTGAAAGGAATACGTGGACGATCTCCCGCAAAATAAAGGTGCTGTCGGTGTGGTCACCCTTCGCGTGGCACGCGCCACGATCCACCTTTCTTTTTTTCGTCGTCGTCGCGCGGCCAGCCGTCGCCTTTCAGATCCCCAGGATAAGGAATCCTCCCTGCTGCGAGCACAGGGAACTCTTTAGAATGTTACGGTTACTCGCTCTCTGCGGGCGAGGGAGAGAGAGCACCCACGGCGCCTTTGATGTTTTCGACTCTGCCCCGCGTCCCATTCAGTGTTAAACTTACTTCGACGGTGGTGTTGCTAAGGGATTTCGGGCAGAGTTCGAAAATTGGCCTACCCGATTTTTAAATGTTTAAATTAAAAGATCCACGCTTCGATCGCGGGATTTTATATCAATATAAAAAGCAGTTTATATACCGCAATATTCACGTAAAAAGAAACATCGTTTCATGTGAAGGAAAATATTTCTCTTAAAAGGGGACAATGCATTACTGGTTAAACAGGGTATCATATTTCGATATCGCCGGGGGGTGTTTTCAGAGCTACTGCCCTTGAGGATTTAAAGAAGCTGGGATAAATGGCACCCCGCGTTGCGCTTATTCAGCAGCACGAATCGCGATTTGAACGCAATAAAGGAAGACAAACAAACGGTCTCTCGGGGAGCAGGTGAAATAACGATTCTCGTAATTGATACACTCCGAATCCCAGCAGGATCGAATCGGCCAAAGAAAATCAAGCAAAAATAAATATATAACAAGTTTAAGCAACTGGAATAATTCCTACGAATGCTAGAGACGTCCTGTGAAGAACCGAGCCTGTTTAAGGCGCTGATTCGTTTACGCTTTGGGAGAGGAAAGAGAGGTTCCTCGGTTAGGCAAAAAGCAAGTCGGACAGCGAGAAGGAAGAGACTCCGCGTTGAGGGGAGTATACAAGTGGGACATTGAAGAAAGGGGTTAGGTCCCATACGGTGACAACGGCAAAACTCGAAACGACGTCGTCGGACTTGGCTTCCGGCCATTTCCCAGCTATCGATCCGCGAAGCGTTACGACAAAGCTGCCCTACGTGCAATTATAGGTGTATCGTGTGTATAATACAACCCTGGTACGTGCATAGCCCGAGGGTGGATCAGCGCAAGGACGATCCCCCGAAAATTTGGCCGCGAAACTGGAATCGCGAATTCTTCGATGGCCGATATCGAGGACAGCTGCACTGTTCTCGAAAATTGCCGAACCGGGTCAAATTGCACTTACAACCAGGGATACACCGACAGGCCTACTCGTTTTTATCTTCCATACCTCTCGACGATTCGACATTTATTTTGTTCCCTTTTGAAAAGGGTAGAGGCAATCTGAAAGTCGTACCATCCGATCGATTCTTGAAATACATTTTCCACCCTGGACTTCACGAATCCTGGCCTGTAAAAATTCAAATTCATACATAAAATGCATACTTTATAATGTTTATATAATTAATCAGCTTCGCGTAAGTAGCTGACTGCTTCTTGGATGTATTTTACTGAAGTAGCGTGTAAGAAAGACGCGGTTCACCCACCCTACGAATGCAATACATCGGTGCGTTTCCACGTATGCGTGGAATCGATAACTGGGAATTAGTCTGACAGGCTGTCTGCCAGAACCAAGTACAGTACGTTCATGCGAAAAACCTTGCCAATAGCGTTAAACTAATTATAACGCGGAAATTAATTTGAACATGTACATATACCTGTGCAATTGACACGTACCATGATTTCAAATACATACATACCTGTCCAATTGACAAGCGTTGTATGCACTGTCATTTGAAATACATACCTTTGCGATTGAAACGCATGTAAAACTGTCATATCGTTCTTATATCAATTTCCACACACAATCGATAATCAGACAAATATTCGTAAACGTTCGACATTTGTCTATTAAATCGCGATCCTCGATTCGACATTTTTCGAATAAAATCCGAGGAGCCTCGATCAATAGTTGATCGACGTGAAAGGAATACGTATAATCGCGTTTAGGGCAAACGAACAATTAAAAAATTGGGTTACCTTAAGTAATTCCCTCGTAAAAGTCGTTACCTTTCTGTTACCTGTCCGTTCGAATGAGGCGATGACATGACAGGAGAAGATGAGACGTGAAGAGAGATATTCCAGGAAGGTGAACGTGAAAGCCGTGCGAGATAACCGTTGGATCGACGAAGTCGGTACGGAGAATCAATATATCACAACCGTAGCAAATATACGAGGCAATAAACTGTGCACTGCACGCATTAAAGCACCTACGCGTCCGTTAAATGGTTTGACAATTGCAACTGCGCCGTCGTATCGATTTCCTTTCGATATCGATCGCCAGTCGATCATCGATTACGCGCGGGAACGCGACAACGTCACACCACGGATCTCAGTCTCGATACCGACCACATCGTTCTGTGCTTCGTTTGCAATTGTACGTACACCTCATTATATATTAAACAGAATGCCTTTCTTGCTTGGAATAAAATGAATAGAGTGTGCTCAGATTCTGTACATTTACAATAGTAGTCCTTTCGGCTCGTGGAAACGAATTTACAATTGTGATTCACCGCAATGTCTCACGCACAAAATGATATTCTTTGTCCCATTCTAAGTACCTTTGACAAACAATTTTAATCTTGTTCATCGTGTGTAAGAAGCGTCCGTAGATAAACTTAAATACTCGTTTCAAACTTGAATCGTGTTGAATTGAATTGCTTTCGGAGTTAGACGCTGTCGCGGCAGCACCTCGGCAGGCGGCGCCATGTTCACCGAATACCGCGCCATTTTTCGCGCGAGGAGAGTTCGTTTCGTACAGTTGGAACATTTCAACGGTTGATATTTCGTTCTTTGTCGCGTAATTAACTTCGAAAGTGATATTAAATCGATGATGATTGTGTGATTAAGTGTCGTAATCGAAGGCAACGACGAGCATTGCGGGCTAACCAAAGAATGATCGAGAACGAAGTCCGACGATCTGCGACCGTTCAGCGACAACGGATCATTTTGTTCAAGGAGGGACGCAGAGATAATTTGCGATCAAATTAGTAAGTAACACTTTAATCTGTATTCCTTAGTCGATTAGTTTAATCCAATACAAACTTCGTATAATAGAAAACGAACTTGAAAGTTACAAAATGATGAGCCATTAATGTTCACTTCGTGACGATTGTATGGTGTTCTAAAAACTCATCGATCAGATATAAAAATCGATTACAAAATCTCATAATATTAGTGGAATAGAAAACACAAATGGTTTAACTTAACAGCACCATGTTATAAACAAACTGTCGTTATAAAGTGCAGTATAAATATAAGTGTTTGCAACAGCAGACTCCACGGTATTAAAAATACCTTCTCTTAACATTTCCCGAATGTTAAACGCACGTAAATTAATGTTCTTTATAGACAACTTCGCGTTTCTTGTCATTCGATTCTTATGAGGTTTAGATTTCAATTAAAGAAATCCTCTACCTCAGCTAACTCTCTTGCTCTGGCCTGTTGATGGGCCCAACGTGCCTCTGCGAGTCTGTCGCTCACTCCCCATTTTTCGTGATAGATACGTTGCTTGCAAGTTGGACACTTTTTACCACCTGTAACAAAATTCATGAGAAATTAGTCGTTTATTCGAATTCAAGTTCGAAATCTCTCCTTACCATGGAAGGGAGGTGTCTTCATGTATTTTACAAGACATTGCAGATGAAACAAGTGTCCACAGTAGAGTCTTTCCACGTGCATGTCCGCGGTTTCGTTTCTCTCTGCATTCTCTGGGTTGGCTGGCAGACATGTCTGCCTGCAGGACTGACAATGCTCTCGTGGCAAACTTTTCACAGACCTGGGTGTGATTTCTTTCAAGTTAAATCCTCTAAGAATTAGAATAATTTTCGTAAATCAATGTACATACTGTATAAGGAAGGAAGCGACAATCTTTAAGGACGGCGACGGTGTAAAGGGAGATTGAGATTTTTTCCTGAGGGGTGGCTCCACGCACTGCCTAGCTATTTCTCTTGCTTGGCCAAGGAAATGACGGGTAAACAGTGGAGGGAAATTTGTATCTGCATCTTCGATTCTAAAAAGAAAAAGAATTTGTAAATAAAATATATGTAGACACTGTCAGGCAATGTTTGTACGTAGTTTTATGTTAACATTGTCACATACGTCACACATGTAACTGGATAGTTGTCAGACACTTCAATTTTTGCCTTGAAATAATACAATCCCTCTTGAACCTTGAGACCGATACAAGAATATTTCTGCTTCAATTTTAACTCATCATCGTTTTGCAATATGTTTTTTACGGCTGATATTTCATCGTAACAACAAATCAAAGGATTTTCATCGATGAAATTACGGATGAACTTCAGTATCGGTAGAACCTGGAGTAAAATCATTCCAAGTTAGACGCACAGGGAATACGTTCTTTATTTGAAATACTTACTTGAGCTTTCCCTAGCAATTTTTTGCATTCTCTTTCACAGACTTCTGTTAAACCATCCAGGAGCTTTACTGACAACGTTTTGCTCTTTAATTCGATCAACAGCGGATCGCTAGGATAGTTCTCGGGGAACTGAATGCACACAATAATCGTCTTGAACTTTGTTCTTCTGTAATTGGCAATGATAGCATAAAGAGTTAGCAATCGCTCGTCGCTCGTTAATTTGTTTATCAGGATGACATGAGACTTACGTTATTTCCACTCGCACCATGGTGCGAACGCAGGAGACGAGACGGCTACCATCGATGACATTTTGACAAAGTTTTGACACTTCTTGTAATTCATCATCGATAAAGCCCATCAGAAAGTTCCAAAGAATAGTTGCTATTCGTAACCCCTTGGCATCAAATGGAACATAAATGGAACGGGGCAACCAAAAGGTTAACTTAACCAAACTAGTGGGGAAGAAATAAAAGGCACCGGGACGAGTTGTCGCGTATTTCCGTTCTCAAAAATTGCGATTATATCATACGATATCACGATCAAGGTCAGGGAAGGAACCTGCGCTTGGTTGCTCACAAACATGAATCAGCAACCAACTGACACGATTTTCATAATCATAAGAAGGAGATTGAGAATGCGAAGTGGACACGTTTCAATTTCTCTTTTTTACTCTGCACAATCTTAGATTACTACGAAAATATATTTTATTTAACAGTGAATGACAATCGAAATTCAATTGGATTTTTATTCTGCTACAAAAATACACACTGGCAGTTCGCTCTTGTGTGTACCTCGTATTCTATGGTAGTACCCTAACCTAACGAACCCACGTGTTTACGAGATTCAAAACAATCCTTCGACCGGGAGATCAACAGTCAAAGAAGACGATTTATTCCAATAGACATGACAGTGATATGATAAACAGTGAGTTGAACGATTATAAAAATGTCGCGAATCAGCGATACGAGAGAAGTGATAATAACCAGCGATAGCAACAGCGAGCACTGGAGTGCCGCGGTTTGGGACCCTCGAACAGGATCGACCTTGTCAACCTACAAGAATGCCGGAGCCCTCGCTCATCGAACCCTTCAGCTTCTAAGCGATAGCTACATGATCGGTGCAGATCTGACGAAGCCACGAATACACATCTGGCCTCTGAACAATCATTCACCCGTTCCCAACCTGAGACTGACACCTCCTGGCAAGGTGACAGCCCTGACCTCCAGCCCGAACGGCTCCTACATCGTCGCAGCGATATCTGAAAAACTCTTTATCTGGCAAGTCTGCAATGGACGACTTTTGGGAAATTTATCCCAGCATTATCAAACGGTCAGCTGTTTATCGTTCAGTAAAGACGGTTCGCTGTTCGCGAGTGGTGCCGAGGACGGTCTGGTGTTCGTCTGGTCCTTGTATCGAGTATTGAACGACGACAGACCTGCGCCAGTACATGCGTTCTCTCACCATTCTCTACCGGTAAAGGATCTGCGGTTCGGTCACGGCGGACCGCTTGGAAGACTGTTCTCCGTGTCTCTGGATCGAACATGCAACGTTTACGATCCGGCGTCCGGATCGCTGCTGCTCACCCTCGTATTCAACGTGCCCCTCACCTCGGTCTGTGTGAACGCGCGCGAGAGTGATTTATTCGTCGGCTGCACCGACGGCGCCGTGTATCGATTCAATTTGCACGAGCCCCCACGTGGAATAGAGCATCACGTGCACCCACGAGGAGGGGAATCGAACGATTCGGTGGTCTTCCGGGGACATGAATTACCCGTAGTGTCTCTGTCCGTGTCGATCGACTGCCGATACTTAATCTCAGGCTCTGGTAGCCAAGTTCACATTTGGGACATCGCTAGCCGTCAGATATTAAGGACGATTACACACAAGGGACAAATCACTGCCGCGTTTTTCGCGAAACACTATGAGAACTTTCGCGTGAACGACCTTAAACCGAGCTTGAAATTATCTAATCTACAGAGGGTATCCGATGATACCGGGAAGGAGAGTTTGATCGAGGTGATTTCGAGGGACAGGCATTCGGCGGATATTTTGAACTTCGATTTATACGCGGAGAACAATTCAGGATCGACGTCCAGGCAGATTGCTGAGATGAAGGAGGAGATAGACAACCTGAAGAAAATCAACGCTGCTATTTATCGGTATAGCGTGGAAGCCGTTCTGGGACAAGAATGAGTGGACTCCGAGGAGGAACTTCGACTGAATACTGTGTTTTAATAATAATGAACTTTAGAAAGTTTTTATGCTAGTACTGACCACAATAAAGCATACCTGTTATACCCTCTTCACAATGCAGTTTTTTCCCATCGCTTTTTGTTACCTTCTGGAACTTAAAAACAAGCTAACGAGAAAATGTATGCAAGTTATTTTCTATTATGAAATTATTAAAGAGGATTTTCGTATGTAAGTTGATCTTATAAATTATGCTGAAAGAAACATTGGATTCACTTTCCTGTCTTATATAAAATTTTTCCCAAATATTTTATACTTTATTGAACATTTTCAATAATAATTAAAGTGAATTTTATTATTCGAATTTTTACTTCTAGTGGATCATTTCCATGCTTCCTGTAAAATCTTCCAAAATCCAACCGCTTTATCTTACCCGTTCAGCTAATATTGTAAAACGTACGGTGATTTCGCTTCACGCGGTTGAAAAACGGAATTAATTATTCGCTTAGCATTAGTCACGATCATAATTTCCGCAGTGCGCAATTTTCCATCGGCGGATCATAGAATTTCCTCATATTTTTCATTTCACCTCATCGCGGCTATAAACGCGTTTCCAGAACGGCTCAACCATTTGTACCAAAGAAGCACAATTTTAGTGTAGCTCTTCATCAATTATTCATTATCCATAAAAGAACCTGTGCCAATATTAAAATTCTTCAACCTTTGCCTTTGAAAATGATGACGAACACTTCGCATTTCAAATTGTTTGATCAAATCTTTTTAATGACTGCGAAAAATATTACTCGAGGGCAAACGGGAAAATTGTAACTACGAGCGTGTGTTTCCTGAACGCAAACCACGAATAGTAATGGATTTACAATTCGGGGCGATGAATCAACCGCAACGTAAATCAACGAATCCGTAATTAGTTTCGAGATCACAGTCCCGTTTGCAATACAGTTACATTAGGTATTCTTTGAGCTCGTGTAGAACTGAATTCTCGGTGTAGGAGTAGTCGGAGATAAAAAGGGAGTTTACCATTCCTCGTAAATTCGTTTCGTTGCACGCTCGTAAGCCCCGGTTATAAGGCCTCTTGCTAACAATAATGGAACTCTTCTTTGTACCTAACACAATGAAAGGGGTCGAGATGCAGAATGTTTGAGAGAACAAATAAGCTTGTATCGCTACGTTAAAGGTTTCAATCTCCGACCGTTTCTTACATCGGATCGTGGCGTGCGGAAATAATTGAAACCGCAAACCGACTTCGAAAATGGTTACTTTAATGAAAACGTAAAACATCATTGGAGATATATTGCAACGCTTTCTATTCAAATCAGACGTGGATGAATGCAAACGAGATGCGTGGCGCGATTAAATTAGGCCTAAGGTGCTATCCTGAGAAACTAGAATACCTTTTCATTTGCATGGGAATGGTCCCGTAGAAGGAGATCGATGTAGGATGACCTAGGCTTCCTCTTTTTTTCTTTTCTTTCGTATCGATCTAAGTTTAATATCTTTTATTACAAAAAAAAATCGGACGCGATATATTTTTGTTAAGAGGGATTAAAAGTAGTCCGGCACGTTGAATGTCGGAACAAACTCGGATGTACTGTTTGATGTAGACTGTTGAAATAATGCGACATAATCTACGTCATTATGATCGTATCACGCGTTTATAAATCCTCACACGCGCCAGTGTGTGCCGGGATTATCGCGGATGATCGTTACACTCATTCTTCTTTAAATAGAACACAGCCTCAATAAGTAGTAACGATTTTTCATTAGAACGGATCGTAATTTCATTAGCGATTTTGCCATTAAATCGTTAGACTGCGGATTTCGTTGCACTCGTAACAGACACAAGAGTATCGTACAAACGTTGCGAGTGCCGAAATTTGGCATATCGTCAAACTTTATTCATAATAGAAATAAAATAAAGAAAATAAGAAAAAAAAGAAAATAAAGAAGTTCTGTTTGATTTCGCAATCTACGAGCACCGTCTTGAATAAACGTTTTATGTTTCGATAAATAATGTTCCTGTCTTCCATTGACTTAACGCGTTCCACGTAATTAACGGACTCAGGGTTAAATAAATCGTATCGGAAGTTAGAGCGAAGTGGACGCGTAAAAAAGAAAAACGTGACGGCGAAACGAAATGGCACAGAACGGAACAGTTTCGTCGGTGAAAGGGCCATTAATTTCCAGAGAAATTTTCCCGATATTGACCATCGGACGAGTGAAAGATTCTATTAAATAATTAAATCATACAATTGTAATCACATATAATAAATCATGAATAATTCAAATGAAATCGTAGTCGTCGTATGTCTATTGAATTTCGTACTAAAAATCTGTAAGTATTTTGTAATCTAATCCACTGATTGGAATAGAAAATTATTTCCCATGAGAAATGTATCATAAAAGCAGTAACTGTTTGATTTGGTCTCGTAGCAGAGGAATTGGCAGCAGCCAGAAAATGGAAAACGAGCAAATTTGTCCCCGTTCTGTGCGCAGAATTGTTTGGTCGTGTCATCCCCTGGAACGAGAAACGCTGTAGCTCTATACCGTTGTTTAACTTGGTGAAAAAATCAAATCAAAATTGAAACGAGAACCTGCACGATTCTATAACAATTTTAACGCGATGATTTATGAAAATCCTGATTGCAAATTTCAGATATGTACTTCGATAAAATATTAATCGGCGATCATGTTTTTTTTATATTGTAATTGCCCGGAGCATTTTGCTTGTTTAGTATTTTGGAAAATAAAAGCCGCCCGCCGCGATTCGACTCTGAAATCAATTAGAGATCTCGATAATTTATATTATATTGGAAATGAGTTCCCCGGTTCCGTGTCATTGCGTCAAATACAGTGGGGCGGCACCGCGGTTCTCTGTTAATTGCAAAATACGATTTATGAGGAAACATCGAACAGTTTGGTCAACATTAATCGCAGTTTCCGGCTGTTTACACGCACACCCTTTTATCCCGCGTTATGTGGGTATTTGCATCCGTGCCGGAACTCATTAGGAGAACTTTAAACCGCACTTTCCGGCTGCGTTCCATGTACCGCTGTTCAACACGTTTTTTTCACCAAACGAATTATTCCCTGAGTTACGAGGGTACCGTTTGGAAATAGAGATTGAACATATTGCATCACATATCGATGCAGTTCTCCATAATTACACGATGCTGAAATTCCACTGATAATATATTAGAATTTTTACTTCCTCACGAACAATTAGCCGAGGTAATTTTGTAAAATAAGATCCGCGTGGGTCGAGATAACGAGCCATCGAATCAGCATAGTGATCGGAACGGGGCGGGAACCGAGTGGGAAACAGAGGGTTGAAAAGAAGGGGGTTTCATCCCCCGTAGCCGGTCGAGGCGCAAGGTATAAAATCAGACGTCGGGTACCTGAGGGTGTTCAGTGTTCAACAGAATCCCGTATCACCTCCATTGAATCTCGAGATCTCGTAGCAATGAGAAATTATCTACCCGTAACCCTGGTGGTCCTAATATTTTCCACCTCTCTCAACCGTAAGTGCGATCCAGGAAACCGTACGATTTCGCGGTTCATTCGAACGTCTTCGTGCCTCGTCATTTCTCTCTTCTTCTGTTTTTCGTAATCACGGAGTTCTGTCGCTTCTCTAATCCGATCATTAATCGAATACAAAATTAAAACAGAAATTCTGATCTAAAATCTGTAATCGGTTTTTTTTAGTATCCCAATGCCAAGGCCAACGATCGCCGTCGAGCAAAGGCAAGATATTCGCATGGATCTTCTTTCGAAATTATCTTTTTAATGCACCGATTCTCGATCTCGATGTGACTAGTTTAATTGACTCTCTGTGTTTGACGAAAATTAACTGACGAGTGCATGACTTTTAATATTCTCTGCTCTGAGCCGTGCTCAGCTTCCTTTCATGTTTAATTAAAACAGAAAAAATATGTTCTAAAAAACTTCCTCTGGCGCTTTTGCTGCAAATGTTGGTACGAGCTTCTGTGGAACGAGGTGGAATTTATTTGAAAAATATCATATTTTGTTGAAATAGTCCAGTTGAAATAGAGAAGTCTCGATGTGCTGTAATATTGAGTTTTGTTTAATCTTTGTATCGAACGGCGAGGTTAATTGTTGGCGGCGTGATTTTTCAGAGGGAGTGAGGCTGAAGACTAATGACAGACGAGCTGTCGGTCTCGCGACTTATCCCAGGATCGGTCGATCCGATTTATCTATCAATTTCAACCGCCACGGCGATATAGAACCGGAAACTGAACTCTACAATCCCGACTTGGACAGCTCGGATAAAGATTATGAAGGTGTTTATAATCCTGAACCAATATCTCCGCGATTTGTGAAAATCATTTCCTACAATAAGTGATAAATCTTTGAAGTTAATTTAATATATTCCGTAAATATACATTCAGTCGGATAAAACTGAACGATGAAATAGTATCTAAACTTGTGAACATCATTTTTCATAATGATTAATGACTGGACAGCCAGTTTGACATGGAATACATTATTCAGTGAAGACACTTGTACATTTCTTCGAAAGTACTTCTCTGAGACAAAACACAGAATCCCAGCCATAATCGTGCGGTTCTTCTGATTTATAGATCCTCGCAATCTGACCCCCGGATACGCGGGAAGGATTCCGAATCACGTACCGAAGGAACTGGCTTGGTTGATCTCACCTTCTAAAGACTATCGACCGTGGCAGAAGATCGACGAAAGGCCCGTCTACTCACCGATACGAGGTAAGTGGTGCATGATTCTTATTACCGTTTGTGCATTTCCTACTTCAACATTGATATCGTTCATGTAAATGTGTATTAGAAGAATGATTAAGCATTCGACTAATTTCTAATGAGAATGCAAGAAAATAATTGGCTATTGAACTGTAGCTGTGGAGTAACGTATAAAACTTGTACCGAATCAACAAGAAGTTTCAAATAGAAATTAGTGAAAAAAAAATATTTCCACGTTTTCCTCGTGGCATATTGATACCCGATCCGGGGACAAAAGCATGGGAACGTTTGTCGCGAATGTTTTGTTGATACGCGATCCAAATGCCAATTTAATTTTTACCCTGATACGGGTAGTATTTCATTGCCAGCTCCCACCCTCGCTTTTCGCACCACTCGTGCAACCGAATAAAATGCTGCTAATGCGTTATTTATACCCGGCTCGAATTCCATCAGGGAATTTTGTTACGGTCTGCGGATAGATGATAATCGATTTCCGTCCTGGGAAAAATTGTCTGCAGTTTTCCGTCGACTTATAATGTGTTTCTATGTTGAATTTTTAATTCAACTAGCACCTGCTTGCGTCTCGTACGTTTCTCTTTTTAAGTCTATTATGCATGGAGCTAGGCTCGATATTCTCTTTGCGAAACTAAGAAAGAAGTGTTGTTTTCTTACAAGCTTCCTGATTGAAGTTTAATTTCTGCTCGTGATTTTTTTCCTTTTTCAATTCTAGGCTTGATATTCGTTTCTATTTGGTACTGGTCTTTTTGGAATTTGTTTCACTTTTTTCGGTTCTGTTGAGCACGTTTCGCACGTCTGAGCGTGAAAATTCTGATATCAGGGGAGATTCGTAGATCCGTTGGGTAATTTCAGGATCTCGAAACAGTCAGCTGAACGGTTACACGCCGAGGCTCGGCCGCGAGAACGACATGGAGCGGTCCCTCTGCAAATGATGTCCAAGCCGAGCTGATATAACGGATCCGTAATGCGACACAACCGAATCTGTCTTTACTTCGTGGCCAGCGACCGATATAATTGTAAAACTTTCCTAAAAGCTATCAGGGAATCGTAGAACGAGATCCTCTGTGCGAAACACGAATTCGAAACCCATTATCCTGCGAGAATTTATTGAAGTTTGCATGTGTATACGTCGTGGCATAGAATTTTCGCTGACTCACGAAAGCCGTAATAAAGCTGGTGAAACGATGTTTCTTTACCTCCCTTTCTCGAATTTTCTTTCCCCGTCGAACCTGAATTTCATAGGAACCGCGTTCGTTCCTTCTTCTCCTTTGTGCGTGAATTATTGATGGTCCATCGTAAATGGACGTCGGTCGAATTAAAGATTAATCACTTGTTATATAATAGTAATATTTACTCCGCGAAATTGCTACATAATTCTCGCGTTTAAGCCGATTTATTTCATTACATTCGATACGGATGTTTGCTAATATAATTAGCGGATCGAGCTGAAACAATTCACCAAATAATACCTTCGCGAGTTCGAATATCCAATTTCTGCGGTTCGATTCAACGCAAAGGGAAAACGATTACAATTCCTAGCTTGGGCTCAGAGAGATTTAATTACCGCGTTAATGAGCTCTCGTTCTGATCAATAGGATCCTTTTAAAGACACCGATAAACGATCTATTCCTATTACGCTGACCGGGACCAGACAGGGCAACGTCGCATTAATCGCATTGCTGTTTCGAAACGAGACGACTCTTAGCAGCGGGATTGTAAGACTTTATTACATTTCTCGAAGGAATACCGCATTGAGAACTTCGTGGCCGAATTTCAGTTGATCGTGCCGTAGTTTAGAAATTCCATCGTCAAACGTATCGAGACAATGGACCTTTTAAGATCCCTCTTGCCCGGAGGCGAGGGATCGATCGGCCCGTGGAAGAGTGATAACAATAACTCGATGATGTGTAAAATTCAATCGTTTTATTAATTGACAAAGTGTTCATAATGGGCAGCGACGCGGCTCGCGCCGGCCACGCTATATTAAATACGTGTACTGCGATAACAAATATGTACACACGTAGAGTACGTAACAAACTAGTGATACACCTCGAGAATGATTAGGGGAGATAACGTTTATTCTTGTTCAAAGAGGATCGGCGCCTCTTCCTTATATTTACAAATCGCCCGGATCCGCGGGTATTGGCAACTAGAAGAGATTTAGGTACTAAAAAATCGCACACGCATTCTCCTCGTTGTACACGCTTCTCTCCTCTTCGTTTGCGAGTGATCGCAGCGGGAAACTAGCCGGATCGTAAAAATGTTACAGTCTAGCTACCGTTCGTTGGTCGATCGACCGAGCAAGCCAGGCAGACAAGCGAACAGACACGAGGGACTTAGCTTCGAAACTGCACTCCTCTCGACTACGATCTCTACGAGTCATCGAATCGGTCGGTCGAAAGGTGAATTTAGAGTTGAGGATCGAATGGGAAGCTGGATGGAAATGAAATAACTGCAGTTTCTCTATTGGAAGTACTATAATCAAACGAACGTTTCAACATATTGTACACCTTGAGTAGAATAGATTTTCTATAAACGATCGACGTCGAAAAATATCGCTTAAAATTATGATTAGCAGTTATAAAAAGGTGACGAGTCTTACAAATTCTAGCTATTTACATAAACGGCGAACGTGGCCCGTAAGAGAACGTGCAGTTTCGAGACTCTTACGTAATCGATTAGGTTGGACAGACATAAGTTGAATTGAATTCGATCAAATATATTTCTGTTATGCTACTTTCGATATAACATCTGCCGGACGTCATGTAATATACGCACGAGATACAAACTTTCTAGGTCCCTGTATGCATACAATTCTCCTTTCACTTACGCTCGAGGAATGTGGATGATTTAAAAAGTGTGAGCCGTTCGCGTAACGATATAACAATTACAGTGTATTATAATACATACAGTATAGTAGCGGAGGAAGTACAAAACACAGTCTCTTCTAATTATTCGTCGGCTAACGTTTGGCAGCGGGACTGTTATCGAATCTCATCGTCGGTAAAACAAAGAAATCCAAGTGACACGAGTATCACAGGCTAATTTAAATACAGAACACATTTCTCCGTTAACAATTCCGTCGTTCGTATGCACTCGCCATGTGGCAAACCCAAGTCTCACCAGTGTAAAATGCGACAACCGAACACAACGAGAGGACAAGACTCTGAATGATTTAACAGAGCGTTCGATAAATTATACGTCGGCCTCGTTCCATTGCGAAACTTATTTAAAAAAGGAAAGCCGAGAGTTTGAACACCGGGTAAAGCGACGAACGAGTTTCGAAGATGCGAGCCTAGTCTCCCAAAGGCCGGGACGCGTCTCACAGGGAAACGAACTCGTGCGGGGGTTGGATGATCCGCGGGGGCGGTGGCGGCGATAACCGCAGATCGACGTCCGTCAGCGAGAACGCGGAACTCCCGTTGGCCGTGACGCGCGGCCCCATATTGTCATAAGGCGAGCACAGGTCGCTAGATCGCAACGCCCGTCGAGGAAGCGTGGCGAAACTGGACACGCTGCTAGCCGATGGAAGCACTCCAGTAGCTTTGCTCACCGAAGAGCCGTGAACTGGAAGATCCAGGAGGTCCGGGTAACAACGTTCCGAGGAGTCTTGCGGCACTGACACGGAGATGAAGATGTTCCCGAAGACACCGGCCGGGAGAACGCCGCTCGTGAACTCCGGAGGCGGTGGTGGAAACACGGCGGTGCACGGGACCGACCTCATGACACTCACGGATCCGGCACTGACCTCCGGACGAAGCCTCTCCACGGTGACGGTGGCCGCTCCCATGGGATCGCACAAAGAGCTTCTCTCCGCTAACTCGAGATCACCTGTGCTGCAGGCTTCCACTAAACTCCCGTGACCGCTGCCTCGATCATTGCTATTACCAGGAGTCGTCGTAGTCACGGACAGGTCCAGCAGCTTCTTCTCTTGATCACCGAAGCTGGTGCTGCCCTGGAGCTTGACCTTCTCACGAGCGCTTTGTCGACGAGACCCACCGCACACGCACAAGACCAACAGAACCGCCGAAATGGAAGCACACAACGCGGCCGCTCCACCTCCTGCCAGGCTCACCCAGAGCAGCCAGTTGTCGCTCTGGGAGAGCGTGGGTGCCGTGTACACCCGAGGAATAGTTATGCTGACTGTGTCCATCGCGAGACCAGCAATGTTCTTCGCGAAACAGGAATACTCCCCTGCGTCCCCGTCACTAGCGTTGTAAACGGTCAAGTTGTTCCACCTGTCGATCATTTTAGAAGACGATCGTTCGTTGTAGTTGACTTCGGACGTCGTGTAGACCACGTACGTGCCCGAGTAAATCTGGTCGGTCAGCTTAGTCGCGTTTACAGGACCACCGTTCAGTTGCCACCAGACCTCGGGTTCGGGATCTCCGGTAGCGAGACAGGCTAGGCTTAAATTTCCGTTAGTCTCCTCTTGGATGCTGCTAGCCAGTACAAACACTTCGGGTTCGCAAGCGAACTCGGTCGGTTTCACGTCTTCCCATTTGCGACCTTCGAGCCTCAACGGCGACGAACAAGATTGAGGCACGGAATACAGTTTACTAGGCCCGTTCGGGATTAGCCAGCTTCGGAAATTTCGCAGTCGGCAGTCGCAGCTCCACTGATTTCCGTCCAGAGTCAAAGTTTTCAATCTCGGCAGACTGGATATAACAGATACTTCGAGATACTCAAGTCGATTCTGGTCTAGCCTCAAAGATTCTAATCCTGTCAGGTGGATGAACGCCTCGCCGTTTATCTGTGTTAATGAACACCTCTGCAATTCCAAGTTTCTCAAATGCTGAAGCATAGGAAACTGGTGGCTCTTCAAATTCCCCAACGGATTTCCGCTTAAGATCAGAATCCTCAGTCTCTCGTTGCCTTGAAACGTTCCCGGCTCGAGCGACGACACGTGGTTGTCGGACAGATCGATCTCCACGAGGATCCTCATGTCCTTGAACGAGTCCGCGTGGATCTGATGGATGCCCGCGTTCCTCAGGAAGACTCTCTGGAGATTCAGCAGCCCGGAACGCTTGAAAACCTCCGATTGGAGCGCGGGGATCTTGTTACCGGACAGGTCGAGCACCTGCATGTCCGGGTCCAGGGAAGCTGGTAGCGAGGTCAGGCCGGCGTCCGGGCATAGGGCCGACTTCTTGCCGGACGTCCACTTGCAGCGGCATACGGCTGGACAGTCGGTCCAATCTGGGAACGCGGCTGCCTTCGAGAGTAACGCGAACGAGCCGAGCAGGAAGAATATGGCCAAGAAGATTCGCCCTTGCAGGGGATGGTGCCTTACCCCTAGCATTGTCCCTGTCGATCCTCCACTCGTTGATTACAGATCTGTAAACAGGAGGCCGATTCCGTGATCGCGTGCAGCATTCGTCTCGCAAACGCGTCTAATTCGCGGTCTACTCGTGGGATTTAATAATTGCAAAGTTCACGGTGTCTGATCCCGTTATTGATCCGCTTCCTTCGACGTTTCAAAGGTCAGTCGGTCGATAAAGATGATGGATACATTTCGGAAATAGGACTGTAGTCGTTTGATATATTACACGCAGTGTCGAAAAAGTGGATAGGTTTAGGGTAGTATCGGAATATTAAAGAGAGTGGAAGGGGGATCCGTCGGGTGGAAACGTAGATAAGGGTGGAACCATTTTGTTCCGGATGAGGAAAAAAAAGCGAAAGTCTGTAAATTACGCGGACGTATATGGTAATAAAATGCGAACGATAACGTCGGTTAAATATAAAATATACAAAAACGGGCGAAGTAGTTTCGCTTTTAACGCGGCGTATTCAATCCCTCGCAAACAAGCCGGGTCGGTTTTGGTTTGCCAAAAAACACGAGCTCCTCGTGTAAATTAAAATGGGTCATATCCCGTTGTATAAACGTGGCCGCAACGGTTACGAAAACAGGCTCGAAGCACGTATCTTCCTCAATATATTCACGTTATTCTGCGTCCCGAAACATTTTCTCTCGGTGCACTTGTAAAAATAAAAATAAGAAAAAAACCGAACCTGTTGACTGTTGCGGAACGCACACCCGCCGAACTTTTTCAGAAAAGCGTCAGGGAAAACGCTCTGATATCTCTATTCATTCTCATTGCCCCTTGTTTACGCTCGCACGAAACTAAAAGGGCTAATTAAGCAGCTAGATTCCCGTGTGAAACCAAACAATCGTTACAACAAACAAAAAGAGCAAAGGCTCCCACGTTTTACAAGTTTCGCTCTAAAACTCGTTAAGAAACGTTGCACGAAAACGAATCGCAAATTAATAGAAGTTATACTCGCGTGTTTGAACTTACGAGGGCACTAACAGCTATGTACGATCTCTTTGTACACTTGCTTTCGGACTCTCGCCGAACAGTAATGCCAGCAATTACAATATCGTCGCGCTCTGAACTACAATTCGCGTTAAAACGGTCCGAAACGCTCGCGTACGTCGTTCCAGCCCATTCTCGGCGCCGCGTGTAAAATTACTCGTGATAATTTCCGGATTAACACGCGCTCTCTCCGCGGCGGTGCTCGCTCGTTACGAGGCAAACTGTCTCCGCTTCTGCCGTTTTATCGAGCGTCCGCTGGTTAAACAACGCTCTTACGTTTATCCGATTTTAACCACTTGACTGAGAACTGGCCAATTAAAATCGCTTGCTAATTGATTTAGTAGCATTCCGCGTGATCGATTCCTAAAAAGAACAGAAATATCGTGAAGGATGCTCGTAGCCCGAGGTGATGAAGTTAATAAACAGCCGGCTCGTTTACATCTGTAATGCCGCGGACTAATTTATTTACTCGATTATGAATATTAATGCGACTGCAATTGAAATGGAAATTGGCGTAAGTGTCGGGAGGGGAGGGTTTTAAACGTTGTTCGGCGAGTTATCGGGGCGAATCGAATTAAGAGGGTAACGATACCGACGCCGATGAATCATCCGCGAAATTCTCTCGCACGTGTTGCTCGTAAAACGCGGATGACCTAAAATAAAAATTAGACCGGCGCGACGCGAGGCGAGCGCACAGCGTAGCCATCTGTCCTGGTTTCGCACGGAAAACTAAAAGTCCGCTACTATAGTTGGAGGAACTACTGTACGAGACACTTGTCACCTACCGGGACAATATATTTCTCGACATAACGGCTTGAAGTCTGTCGATATCAGACTCAGACGTCCTTAATTTTCAACCGCTCCCAACACGACTCAATCCGCTCCAAATCATTTAGAAAAATCGAAAACTGGTTAAACGAGAAACTGTCTCTGGTTCTATCACAAGTATAATATATCTTTTTCTGAACGAGGCAATTAAAGGGATTGTACTTGGGATCGGGTAACGTGAGAAGCGCGTGTCACTCGATAGGATGAAGGGGAAGGTTTCTCTTTCCTTTCTCGCGTAAGCTTATTCTTACTTGAGCGTCTGGTTCGGCCGGCACTAAGCATGCCGTCTGCGAATCTGAATGGGGCCGTCATGCCTGCGTGGACGCTTCCATTGTTTCTCAGGGGCTTTCATTTCGCCGACCGGGGTCCTCCTTCGAGCATCACAAAGCCATTGTTGCCCGGGACCTCTTAGATTTCATTCTGATTAAGCCGCCGTGGCTGGTCGCTCCGCACGCTGCTGATGTGGCCCACTTTTACCAATCACAAATCCCACCCGCGCCGCCACAGAACTGATTCTGCATCAAAAACAAATACACGTTCTGCAATAGTTGTACAACATCCGTTTTCCTTGAAAAATTATTTCAACGATAAAACTTAGAAGCGTTTAATTTAAAAGTTGACGCTCGAGGGGCTGTTTCTTATCTCCTTTAGGGCTGCTAGATTAAAAGCGTAATTGCCGGATATTTTATGGAACGGAGGGGAGTCTTCAGAGTCTGAGGGTGGTAGGAATTCCAACAGGCACAGTTCGGAAGCTGCTTCCGGCCTCTCGCTAAGGCATATTAATTGCTGACGCCCGCTAATGGTATGCCCGCGTAATGCGCCGCGAAATTTATATCGATCATAAATTAGACGGAAAGACCCACGCTCGGGCGGCCAAATAACTCTGGATATCGCCTGAATTTCGACTGACGGAACCCGGGAATTGAATAAGCCGACCACGAGATTCAATTGAAACGTACGAGAGACAGAGTTTAGGTAAGCTGTAAAAATTGAGGAGCATAAGCAGCGTCGTGTACCGCGGTCAGGGTGACAGATTCGTTGAGCAATCGAGGGCGGGCAGGCAGCTCCGGGTTCGATTCGACGCTCGATTACTCGAATCGACTGGTCCTCTCTACGTGTCGTGTACGTGTCGACTCGAGTTCTCCCCCGAACGAGCTCTCTTCGAGTGCATCGACCGCGGCAAATTCGCTTACACACTGCACGTACGTACTTGCAGCTAGAATCTGCAGACGCGACGAAAAATCCGGTGGGTTCCTCTCACGGCCCGGCCCGGTCTGACCAATCGCTGACTCGCACCACTGACTCGTTGAAATATTAAACGCGAGATACCACACTGTATCGCACTCTTCACCTCTTCGCGGTCTCGCGTATGTCCTTCGATCCGGTCCTCTCGTCCTTTTGTTTATCGCCGAGCTTATCGAGGCGAGCGTACTCGCGAGCAAACCGAACGACACCGACGAGCAATCGGTGTGTGTAGGTGGGATCAGACGATTCCGTGCACGGTTGATTGATTGAACACCGCACAAATGTAGGAACGAAGCCCGTGGAGAAACCAGTGGAAACGGACCGACGTACGAGGCTCGGTCGCACTTATCAGCTTCCTCTCCACGCGTACCGTGAACGTGTGTTCGCTCGTTCTCACGAGAGGACACCCCCCACCTGGCGAGCGGGGTCGTCGACTGGCATCGACGACCACTTTTCTATTATCCTCTCGTCGGAGCGATCAATCAATCTGCTCGCGCGAGACGATAACACCGCTGCTGGCTCGCGAACTCCTCCTCGTTGGTCCGCTATCCTTCCCTGGCCGGTCTCCTAGGCGAGAACACGAGACGACGGATGCTGCGTCCATCGAACATTTTCATCCTCCGCGGGGCAAGCCTTCTGCGAGATCACAAAGACGAACGCGTTCCAGTTTTTCCACTGCCCCGCGCGAAATCTCGGTCTCTCCCTTCGCACTGGTCTCAGGATCGCGAAAATCCTCACGAACTCACGCACACGTAACGCGAAACCTGCAGATTTGCCGCAGAGGCTAGCGACACGGTGCCTCCGTATTTCCGTGTCTGTTCCTCTCGCTACCCCTTCTTTCGCCCTTACGACCCCTCTACGATCACACGCCCCCCTATTTCTCTCTTCTCACGGTGCTGGTTCTCGCTCGCTCGTTACCCGTAGCTGTCCCTTTCCGGCTCCCTTGCCGCATAGCCCGCCCGCGGGCAGCACCGGCGAATTCTTCTTCGATCAAATCCACCCCCGCTAAGCTAACGCCTCCGCCAGGCTTGCCAACTAGTCTTCTCATCTAGAACTATTAGATAACCGCTGTCTAATATCTCTATTCCTCTGTGCCTAGCAGCGTCGTATGAAAAACTAGGTAAAACTGTCGCGCTGTCCGTGTCGTTAATTGAATCGTTCGAACGCGGTCAGTAGCGAACGTTCGAAAGACAGAAACGATTCGACGGTTTCAAAAGAAATAGCCTAGGAAACAGAATATTTGAAATGATGGTAGACCTGCACCCTCGCGTTTGCTAGGGGTTCGATACGCCCACGCTTATCGACTGCCGCGTAGAATTATCAACGGATGCTGAGAAGGAGAGGACGGCGGATGAGACCGGGTTGGTAATAAGGTTTCGTGTCTCCGCTTACTTCTACGTTTTTCAGCATTTTATTACAAGAATATAGTATAAACTTTCGCTCGATATGTGTGTGTACATGTATAGTAAGTATGTATGCATGTAATGTCGTACGTATTCATGTAATCATGCGGGTGGTGATGTGAGTGGGCGTGTACGCGCGGATCTTTGATCGCTCGCGCGTGATTCTTCCTTCTTGTTCTTATTTTTTTCTTTATACATATAGAATCTCGCACCTCGTCGTTTGTTTCAATCCCAGTAACCCCTATCATCGTCGTTGACGACCCCAACACAGGCCACGATAGTCATAGCTTTTTTAGTTGATCAATATACGTATAATAATATATCTTGTGTTTAATCTTACGTTTTTTTTTTTTTTTTTTTTTTAATCTTATCTCCGCTAAATTGTAATCTATATATAGTTATATCTTTTCTGTACGTGTCTGTCGGTGTAACCTGTCTGTATCTGTGTCGTGTGTGTTTCTTCTTGTTCGTTACTGGAAACATACTTGGCAATTCACGTCTAATAGTACAACGAAGCATTTTTTTGTTTATTTTCATATTTTGTTTTTTTTTCACTCGGATCTCTTTGTTTTAAAATCCACTCGCTCGTTCGCACGCTCTTCCGCTCTCAACGATACGCGCCACGATGGCCTCTTGCTCGATCGGATCGACGTGATGACCACTGGTCGCGATCATTTTAATTGATATGTCAGTGGGTTTTTATCCTCGTAACTCCCAGGGGAAGCGTAGTTAACCGTCAGCCACTTCCATAGCTCGCCGCTGGGTTATTTCCAACTGTTCGCTGCGATAAATCGTCCGTCAGTCTGGTATCTTCATCGGTGCAATAGGTCGTGTTCGCCGGAATACGAAAACCGGCGAGATTCCACTTTCTCTTAATCGAATTAGATCTGTAAGTACGGGTCGAGCCGCGATAAAAATTGATTGTACGCGAGACTGTACGTGTTGTCAGTCATTGTTTCGAGCGGCGGCGCTTATCGAAGCGAACTTGGTGACAAGTTTTGTCCGCGGCAAATGAAACGGCGTTCGTATTCGGAGGAACTTTTCCCATTTCACCTGGGTCTTCATACCTTTGTAGTGTATGTCCCTGTTCATCGTCGGGCAGTTGTTCTGTCCCTGGGGAGTAGAAAAAAAAAACAGAGAGAGTTTCCAGACAATTATACGCGGATCATTAAGATTCAATGCGCGTTTACCTGAACGTTGAAGTCGATGTTCGTTCGAACGGGACGATGATGAAGTGGCTGGGGCGGTCTGAAATTATTCCCAAGCGGCGCGTTCGGATGCTCCTTGTCCCCTTGCATCAATTGTCGCAACGCGAGAAGCTGCAAAACGGAACACAACCGGGAATCGAGTGAATATCGCACGCCTCAAACCTTTTTTTTTATCTCTAACGCCGTCTTTGCTTTCTACTCTTCTCCCCGGGCCCTTACGCCTCTCTCGTTTTTTCACGCTTTACTCGAGCTGGATTAATAGTCTGAAAGCCCTGAAAGAGCGCCGAGCCTCCTAATGGGTATTGTGGGGATTTATTTCTTTGACTCGACGCCGGTGTAGAATATTTTCTCTTTTAATCATTGGATGCCAAAGTTTCTGCATCCCGCGCATTTATTTTATTCCCCTTTTGTCTTGTAATAACCCTCCGACGACGACGACGACGACGAGGATTAGAAATTTTCCGGAGTAATTTCACAAATGAATTCTTTGTTATTCCCGGGACTCGGAAGGAATTGCGGCGAGGATTAAATGGACGCGGAATTCGATTGGTCTCTAGGAGATATCGAGCGAAAATTAGGTAAATAAGACACCTCGGTTCTTTATCGTCTTTGCGCGGCGTAATGGCCAAACAGACTCGCCGAGCTAATAGGTGGAACGTCGACCATTATAGATATCGATTTATCGATGGTTCAATTTTGAGAAACTGGGCGAACGACCATCGCACGCTGCTCCCTGTTCTCGTCGCCTTTGCGTTCTGCTCTTTCGAAACGACCTTTCCCATCGTGTAACAGCTTAATAGCCTGAAAGTTAACGCGGCAGCCACGGAGAACTGCTATACAGATATCGACTCCTTGACTTTTGATAGGAGTAGTTCGCAGGAACACCTGCTCACGTATTTTAAACTCCGAACTTCGGGACTAAACAGTCACGCGAGATAATTAGCTCGAAATTCACGCCTCGTTAAGAAATTGCCAAGTTCGTTTTCGCGATTAACTTTTCCATCCGCGGGGAAACGTCTGAAAATTCTTCCCTCGCCGTGGCTAGAAAACGGAACACTGTTCAGTTTTTGAGAGAGATCGCTTTGATAAACATGCCGCCGGGGGGTTAATAATCGTCGGGCCGGACATCACCGGACGCTCTTTTCGCTCTAATGGAGTGCAGCCCGCAGAGGACCGGCTTTAGAATATTCGATGGACCGCGTGCACCTTTGCGCGTTTCCTTTCCTCGTCGCAATTTTTCCGTGTAACGAGCAACGTATTGCGTGTACACTACCGTCCACAATTTAAGACCTGACTATCGATGAACATTCAACTAGCCGAGGGATGTAATACCACCGAGGAGGGATTATTAATGAGTTACAGCTTTATGGGATTTTGTATCGTATGAAAAAGTCTACAATTTTTTACACCCTCTAGAATATATTGCCACCGAAGTAAGAAATAGATAGCAAAACATCGATGCTGAACAGTTTGCCAGATACAAGAAAAGTCCTATGCAATTTCCTTTTAAGAATGTATTGGCTATACAGTTAATCCCAAAAGTTTATGTACCTTAGAAAAACGCATTTCCTATAATTAAAAAGAAATCAGACGTCGGAAGAATAATGCTAATTATAAATAGCTACGTGCTAAAAAGTATAGAAGGAAATATCCAATTAAGTAT